TCAAGGGGCAACAAATGTTCTGCTTGTAAATGTGGAAGTAAAATGCATTCAATCGTATGGAAGAGTTTCATAATGCATTCATTCTTTCTCTTCAAATAGCCCGTAAAACATTGCTTTCAATATTTCATTCAAATCCTGAATGTCCAATTACATTAAAGAATGGATACAAACCTCTCCACACCGGGATTTTTATCAGCAAGAAATTATTGTAAAAACAACTATAATTACACTCTTTCGGGTAATTTTAGCTATTTTATTATATTATTAAAATATATTTATTTTGTTAATATGAACATTGCATTATTCCGTAAAATCAAACTAACACTATTAGTAATACATTTTAGATTCATCCGATATTGACCAATAAAAGCTTATGGATCACAAGCTGGCCCAGCCCTGAAGATGTGTTCCGTCATCTAGAAGCACTAAAATTGTAAATCAAAATAGGCGTTGTAGATAAAGCTGTTGTTTCTGTTACCTGCCACATAGGAAGGCTCTTCTTCCAGGTGTTTGTGACAGTAAAATAAATTGTATATTAAGTATGGGATTTGAGGAAACGTTTAATATGTTTCTGTTTTGTAGGAAATAGAGCAAGAAACACTCTCTGATTTTAGCTTGTTGCATTATTATGTTGCATTATGTTTATTGTACTATTGTGTACCTCTGTCACACATTACAATACATGTATTTATATCTTTACATATAATTTACACTATATATTTGTACATTTTATTAATAAATACATTTCTAATTTTGAGTCACATAGTTGAAAATAGGAAATATTACCTTTATAATTTCACAAGTAATAAAGGTAGTCAATATATAATACTTTGGACCCACAAATCTTCTCATATACCGTCAAAAATTAATACAGTCTTAGAAAATAAATTCGTGTCATTTATCTCACAAATTTCTGAGTTTACCCAAAAAATTCATGATATGAGAATAAAAAATAAAATCGCAATATTAAATATATACTTCTCAAGAACGTAATACGAATCATTGTTTCACCATAACATTTCAGGTTCAGCCAAGAAAGCCATATTATATATCTGTAGGACCTTTGTGATAACCATGTAATAATATTCAGCATAGTATGGACATAGTATGAGAGCATACTTCCAAGGAACGTAGAGCCTTAATTCTGAGCTAAAATTAATGGGCAAAGAGGTTATGCAAAATTTCACAGTTGATTTACACCTTGGGCTGTATCGTGACACAAATGGTATGCTCCCTTACGAACAATCTCTTATACGTACCCTGTTTTCTTTCACCGTCGCGTTCGATATGGCTATTAGCATTTGCTATTGACAAGGTCTGAAAGTTGTTTTTTGTCATCGTATGTTGGCAACTTTATCAAAGAAAACATGGAAAAAGCAAGAAGACATGAAAACCTATTTTATTCGGAGATCGAGAAATTTGCTTCAGCCATACTTTAGAGAAAAGGAATCAAATCAAGATACGCAACTACTTTTACTTCAGTTACTACTTTTACCGCCGTTTTAAGATTGTCACACTCATTTTAACTTCTTCCCGATGCCATTGATCCGTTTGCAATCAATTAGAGATACATAGTTTTGAAAACTGATTAGTGCGATAGACTCATAGGGACATTCTTGACCGATATCTCTGTAAAGACAAAAACGTGTTTCCTGTTAAAATAAAAAATACTGTTGTTAGTCTTATTTACTGGAATTTGTTTGTGTCATGAATTTCCTTTTGGAATAAACACAATAATGTGATCTATCCCAAATAAACCCAATGTATTTTGAACATATTTTTACATATGTCTATTGTTTTACACCTTGAGTGGTTTACCATTTTAAAACTGAAGTTACCAGGTAATCCACAGAATAGTTTAAAATTAAAAATATTATTTAAAAATGTAAAGTTTTACAAGATATCGACACAGTCCACTCAATTAATTTGATATTGTCACGCTTGTCCGCAATTTTAGCGTAGAATATAGATTTTTGAATGCGTTAAGTATTCCATGTATTTCTGAAACGATTAATATGAAATATTGCCTACTGTTGTAAACTCAACAACGCAGCAAAGTAATTGTTGAAGTCGTTGATGGGTTAACCTGTAATTTCGTATTTTCTCGCAAACATACAAATATATCCAAAAAATTTTAATTTTCATAATTTAAATATGAGACACTTTCCATATTCTGTGGTAATTAAAACATCTGTAGGAATACAATGCATGATAGTAAAGTAATATCTACACGATTTAATTGGTTATGGGTGCATACCGAGGTCACAAGTTTGGAATAAATAATTCATGAGTTTTTAGCTTCAACGGCAGTTCATATTTTCATCATTGTCAATAATTTGCTGTCAATCTAAGAAATTTAAAAACAAGTCAAAAATCGATTAAAATCGATTGTCCCAACTCCAAGTTTGCTATATTCTATAAAATTCCATTCTTTACATCCAAACCAAGTTAATGACATTAGTTAGTTAGAGAAACATTTCCGGCCATTGATTGGTCTCTGTTTTCATTTTATAATCGAAGACATACTTATTAACAAGTGTTATCACATACGAGCTGGCATTGGTTTGTCCTTTAGGAAAAATGGATTATGTAGGAAATTGTCACTAAATCTGCTGTGGTATATCGACGTGCTCGATATCGTTTTTTATTTATTATAAAAAATTTTGAGAGACGGATGTTCATTTCGAAGAATTTACAAAATGAAAGTTTGGATACCGGAACCTGCACTGATAAGTGCAATACTGATCCCCGGTATTTACAATAAAAAAATCAGCTGTCACCTCTCTTATAAGTTGGATCCTGTTATTCAGAAATAAACATGCATATGTTGATAGTTTATTTTGCTTACGACAAACTCAACGTTCCGGCTATCATTCCACACTCTTCTTTGTGAAACGTATTTGTAAGCTGGATTTTGGTACCATCGTTTCGTTTCCCGGACAGACGAATAGAAACGTGAACTATGTTTTTATACGAAGTCCACTGTGTCAGATTCGCCGTATAAGCAACATCGCAACACTGCATCCAGGTCAATAATTCTGTTTGTCACGGGAAATAGCGATATACGTTTTCTTCGCTGTTCGAGATGTCTGTTTCCGTGGCTCTTCTGCTTTGTCGTTTCCCTATGATTTTTAAGTACCATACTGGATATAAAACCATTCTCGCGAAAAGATAGTAATGTCATTTCTAACTTTCCACGAAATTATTTTTCTGTGAGTGGGATTCATTACATATTTGCTCCACTTCAAATACACTCGCAGAAAAATCGCAGTGAGAAAGACCATGGGATCTGGTATGATTGATGTTTCAGTGCACGTCCAATACTGAGGTCATTAGTCCCGTTAGTGTAGTGAATGTGTTATCGAGGGGGAGGCGGTGCTCTTCCCCTGCTGGTAGTGTGATCTGGCGCGTTCTATCCGTCGGCTTGCAGGAGTTTCCCACTCCATGTATCTTCCATGCGGGACTAGTTAAAACCATAGCTGATTTTGGGGCGATGCATTATTAACATCGGTGTTTTCATATGGAACGTTGACATTTGGAAACATCGCTGTTTTGTTCGCGATGTCAGATCAGGTGTCGTGGCAATGCGTTTCCCATCCAGCGAAGCTTCTTGGAAAGATTAATGTGCTGCTCGGTTACATTCAAAATATACCCACCACAAGCGTACACAACCTAAAAAAAGGTGGCTATATTTTTGCCTCTCAACAGGCCCACTTATTAAACGTTTTCATTTGCACATGGCTTATTTTACTAGTAAATAAATAAAATATAATATGAGGTGGATGATATACTTTTAATGGTTCCATTAAAAAAGCAATTGGTTTCACGTTGCATCATTTACAGGGTTGACAAGATGTTTTGAGGAGCTTCTGCGTCAAGTGCCAGGTAGAAATTCCTAAAATTGTCAGCTTAAAAAAGGGAGGAAACAAGGAATTGACCATATTTACGAATATTATGTGAAGGGTTTCTTACAAGACCAAAGCAAGTCCAAAAATTGATAGTTTGAGATATTTCACAATATTACTCCCTACAACTGGCGTAATCTTTTGTGATATTTTCTTTTGGCAAATTCCAAACACATTGAAAGATATAAGGCGGGGAAAAATCATAAATTAATTACAATGAACGTCTACGCTACGTCATTTTAGTGCATCTTGAAAAATCTCGAATTTGGACTAGCTTGGTTCTTGTAAGAAACGCTTCAAACGTTTTATTACGTAGGACTACGAGGCGCCTCTCGAAATTTTCAGGAGGCCACGCCCCTTACTCCGCTTCCGCTGTGCGCACGCCTACGATATAGAGGCGATACTGCAAGAAGGGACCAGTTTGACAGGTGGGGAAACAAATGATTGTCATGCTGCGCCATGATATTGCAAGATACAGTGATGAAGCCGTTTACACATGAACTAACTGTAAACGAACGCACTGACCAAATGAGTGATTGGGACAAATCTTCAGTTATGTGGTCAAGCAATAACTTTTACAGCGCCATGACATTACAAGAGACTATGATGAAGCCGTTTACACATGAACTAACTGTAAACAAACGCACTGACCAATCGCATTGGGACAAATCTTCAGTTATGTGGTCAAGCAATAACTTTGACAGCGCCCTGACATTGCAAGAGCCTGTGATGAAGCCGTTCACACATGAGCTAACTGTAAACGAATGCACTGACCAAATGAGTGATTGGGAAAAATCTTTAGTTATGTGGTCAAGCAATAACTTTGACAGCGCCATGACATTGCAAGAGCCTGAGATGAAGCCGTTCACACATGAGTCAACTGTAAACGAACGCACTGACCAAATGAGTGATTGGGCCAAATCTTCAGTTATGTGGTCAAGCAATAACTTTTACAGCGCCATGACATTGCTAGAGCCTGTGATGAAGCCGTTCACACATGAGCTAACTGTAAACGAACGCACTGACCAAATAAGTGATTGGGCAAAATCTTGCCAGCACTGGCCAAGCAGTGACTTCCACTGCAGTCCCTTCTTACAGCAATCTCTCCACACCTAGTGTCGTCAACGTAACCGCGGCCCAACCTTCGCGCACACACGTGTCCCCCACCCGTCCCGAGTCCGTTCACAGCTTGAAGCCGGCCAGCGGGGAGACGTAGGGCTCCTCGCAGTGCAGCCTGCCGGCGTAGACGCGCAGCGCTTCGTTGGGCGGCTGGGTGCCGGCGAAGACGACGCGGCCATCGGGCTTGTAGTCGTCGTAGGGCAGCGAGTAGATCTCCACCAGCCCGGCCTTCTGACAGCACTTGGCCGACGCGATGCCCGTGCAGTCGGCTTTGACCGCCTGCAGCCCCTGGGCGGCCCCCAGTGCCAGGCTGGCTTTCACCACCTTCGTGCCCAGCCCTGCGCCCAACAAACAGCCGTGTTATTGGAATGCCTGGGGCACAATGGAGATGTGGAAATCCTTGATGGTCGAGAAAGATCAGAGATATATCAACCACAAAACTTTTAATAATATTTTTATTATTACACGTAATTAATGAGACATGACGTGAAAAAAAATAATACGATCCACCGGCGATCGAGGCGGCGGCTGCTGCTAGTTTCTCTACAGCGCGTGGTTGCCATATCTGCTTTTAATCAACAATGGAAGTGTTTTGGGATATACATTTTACGCCGCAGTAACACTGATAGATTTTGTAAGCAAATTGTTTGAAAAATATATAACAGTAATTATTATGTACTATAGTATTGTAATATTCTCCGAATCTGCTCTTTCTTACACAAACTATATGTTACTTTTTGTCGGCACATGACTGTAATGGTACGTTTTCAGACCGGAAGAAATCCCCAAATTCTCATTACTATTTGAAAAATAAACGTTTCGTTTCCATCTTTCGACGATGTATATAAAAAGGAAATAAGTAAATAAATGAAAAAAGTCCTCATAATGGTGCCATGTTAATGTCCAACAAAGAGAAGAAGTCAAAAGAATTTCACATTTTATTATCTTATCTCAACAAAGAACTCAAACATAATTAAATAATTCAAAATAATATAAAAATAATTAAAATAACAAAAACAACTTTGCACATCTTTCGATCCATTCTTGTTCAGCAAAAATTTTTCTTGCAGCCCATTGTTGGCAGGGCGGCCATATGTTTCATTACTCACCAACATAAATTACGCGAAAACCACAAAAATATTTTTAAAAATGCCTAATTTCCGGCAAAATTCTCATATTTTCGAAAAGTTGAACTTGACCTTATTTCAACATTTGTCTTCAAGGAACAGATTTTAATTAGGAAAGTTAAAGTAAAAAAGTATCTGCATTCAATATTACAATATTATAATATATTTCAATATTACAATATTATAATATATTTCAATATTACAATATTGTAATTGTAGGAAGACACCGAAAAATTTTGAATTTTTATAATTTTTGAAAAAACAGTTTGAACTCTAGTGGAAAATAAAAATGTACATCCCGGTTAGCCGAGTATCAAATGGCTCCGACCGCGGAAGATTTCGTATCTACCAGGAGAAAAAGGGTCCGCCATCGTACGGAGTATCAAATGACCCCGTCCGCGGTAAATTACGAATCCACCAATGGGAAAGGACCCGCCGTCGTGAAGGGGCCGATGCGAGGCTTACCCCTGCCGGTGTGCGAGCCTTCCACGGAGATGAGGCCGATCTCGAGCACCTCGGAGACGCCCAGCGCGCCGAAGATGTCCAGGCGCTGGTGCACCGACGTCAGCAGCCGCAGCACGTTGCGGTTCAGCGGGTCGTCCTCCTCGCAACCTGCAGCCCACGGGCGCGAGCGTTAGCACATTGTTACGGGAACAACACACACGCATTCAATAGTTGTTAAATATGGTACATTAACGGTGTTGTGTGGTATCAAAAATTTATTTTGGTACCTCCTAACCAGCGTCCACTAGAAGAGGTAGATACCACCAGATGGTACTTACCACACCAGCGATCGAATTAACAATATTTGTTATTTAAATTTTTGGTCTTTACAAAACATACTGAATGAATAAGAACCACTTTTGTTTTCATATTTGTCATATTTTGGTATAATTACATTGTTTCTTATTAACACATATTTCTTACGTTTTTCGTTATGATTTAATGTTTTAGTGTGACCAAAAGGAGAAATAAAACGTTTCAAATCTGCGTTTGCCAACAGTATACATCACTCAATTCGTTCTTCTAATGGAGCAATGTACCAGTACGGGGCTTCTATGACCGCAGGTCCTTCTCCATGAATTTGCCAAACTTCCCCCTCCCCCACAGTCCCGTTTGATAGAAACCGCGAGCCCTGAATTATGGACAAGTGGAAGTTTGTAAAGCAGAAATTATATGAACGAAGGGCTTGCTTGTGTTTTATAGAGCCCCTGCGTGACTCGATAGAAAACCGACAACTATTTTTCACAGATAATTGTTTCACCGCGTTTCGATTTTTGATATGCGGTATGTTCTCTTTAATCTTCTGCTCTCTGCTCTGAGAGTGTCTCGGATGAAGCAGATCACCACTGGTAAGAGATTCTTGGATTGGAAAACCCCCGCAATCTGACGTGTAGGTTAGCGCCGGATTCAACAGGGGAAGCACACCGCCACTTTCCGAGGAAAAATCATGCACTACACTTACGGGTCTAATTACTTTTGCAGTTAACGCGTCCGGAATCACCAATCAGTAATAAAGAAAATAATTGACCGAACTATTAAAATGGCATCGCAATTAAATGGTAAATGGAGGTATCACAACACGCTGATAACATCACGATTTAATCTGCTATAGTTGCATAATACTCTGTGTTTTACCGTCATGTTCGCATGTTTGTCTCCACTGCATCGCGTTTCGGTCTGTCATGGTCGATTCCCTGGACCGCGTAGCGGCCTCCAAGGCTTTGCGCTTTGATTAGCTATGGCCGACGCCCATGTTCTCATAGCGAACTCCAAGGCATTTCGCTTTGATCCACCATGGTCGACTGCCACGACCTCATAACGGCCTCCAAGACATTGCGCTTTGATCTGCTATGGTCGACTCCCAGCATGCATAGCGGTCTCCAAGGCATTGCGTTTAGATCTAAGGCCGACACCCATGACCTCATAGTGGTCTCCAAGGTATTTCACTTTGATCTGCTATGGTCAAATCTTAGGACCGCATTGTGGTCTCCAAGGCATTTCGCTTTGATCTACCATGGATGACTGCCATGGCCTCGTAATGTTCTCCAAGGCAATGCGCTTTGATCTGCTACGGCAGACGCCCATGACCTCATAGCGGTCTCCATGGCATCGCGCTTTGATCTGCTACGATCGACTCCTAGAACCGCATAGCGGTCTCCAAGGCATCACGTTTTGATCTAATGCCGACGCCTATGACCTCGTAATGTTCTCCAAGGCAATGCGCTTTGATCTGCTACGATCGACTCCTAGAACCGCGTAGCGGTGTCCAAGGCATCGCGCTTAGATGCGCGAAACCGGCTTCGTACTCACCGAGCGCGCGCACGTCGACGCCGAGCACCTTGGCGCTGGGCAGCACGCGGTTGAGGCAGGCGGCGACGACGCGGCCGCCGCTGAGCGCCGCCACGCACAGGCCGCTGCGCAGCTGCTGCGCGGCGTAGGCGCGGAAGTCGGCGGCGCGCGCTCCGGACGCGTCGGGCGGGAAGCAGCGCGACAGCGGCTCGTCGCGCAGGAAGATGGGCGTCACGTGCGACAGCACCTCCTCGTACCTGGGCACGCGCGCCCCAACTGTCAGTACCCGCACGTACGCATACACGTACACATACACGCATCTGCATACACATACACATACACTTTCACGAACACATTCACAAACAAATACACATTCACAAACAAATACACATTCACAAACAAATACACATTCACATACAAATACACATTCACATACAAATACACATTCCACATACAAATACAACATTCACAATACAAAGACACATTCACATACAAAGACACATTCACATACAAAGAACACATTCCACATACAAAGACATACATTCAGCAACAAGACACATTCACATCACAAAGACACATTCACATCAAAGACACATTCACATACAAAGATACATTCACATACAAATACACATTCACATACAATACACATTCACATACAAATACACATTCACATACAAAAGACACATTCACGATACCAAATACACATTCCACATAACAAATACACATTCAATACAAATACACATTCAATACAAATACACATTCACATAACAAAACCTATTCGCATACAAATACAACATTCACATACAAATACACATTCACATGCAAATACACATTCACATGCAAATACACATACACATACAAACACACATACACAAATACACATACACATACACAAATACACATACACATACACATACAAATACACATACACATACACACTCATCCACGAGCTGAGAGATCTTCCACGTACCTTGGAACGCGCACCGCGCACCCGAACTGTCAGTACCGGCACGTACGCATACATGCACACACAGCCGCATACACACTCATCCACGCGTTGCGAGCACCTTCTTGTACCACTCACGCGCACTGTCAATATCAGCACGTACGCATACATGCACTCACACTCATCCACGCGCTGTGATCATTTCCTCGTGCCTCGGCACGCACGCGCATTGTCACTACCAGCACGTACACATACATGGACGCGCACCTCGCACATACACAGTCATCCACGCGCTATGAGCTATTTCTCGTACCTTGGCACGTACGTGCACTGTCAGTACCAACACGTACACACACATACGTATATTCATTCACGCGCTGTGAGCACTTCCTAGTATCTTGGCACGGAAGTGTACTGTCAGTACCAGCATGTACAGACACATACACATACACAAACTCTTGCCCATGCACGCGCTGTGAGCACTTCCTTGGCACTCACGCGCACTATCAGTACCAGCACGTACATATACAAGCACATACACACTCATCCATGCGCTGCCAGCCTCTTCTAGTATCTTGCACGAAAACGTTCTCGCGCACTATGTCAGTACTAGCTGAAACACATACATGCAGGCGCACCTCGCACATACACACTCATCCTCGCGCTGTCAGTACCTCATAGTACCTCGGCACACACTATCAGAACTAGCACGCACACACAGGCAGCCGCACACGCTATCAGCACCAACAAACACGCACACAGGCACGCTCTGTTAGCATCCGTACACAGACGTTCATGTTGCCAGCACCTCTTCGTACCTTAGCACAAACACGCGCACGCTATCAGCAGCTACTCGTGCACACATGCACTCTCTCTAGATACGCATCCTCATACCTTGGCACGCGCACACTTTCAGTACCAGCTGGCACACACACACACGCGCGCACACGCTGTCAGAGAGACACTTCGCACAGACACATATCCACGCGCTGTCAGCACCTTCTCTACCTTGGCACGTACACGCGCACGCTATCAGCACCACGCACATTGACACAGCTCCTCCTCCTACGCACACACGCACTTGCTGTCATCACTTCCTCCTTCACACTCACGCGCACGTACAATCAGAACTTCGTGCCAACGTGTACGCGCTGTCCGTACGACCTCGCAGTCAGAGAAACAGACGCAGCTCACATTCTTTGGAAAGGCTTCTTCGTTTCACGGTACGCTCTCGTGCTATCACTAGGTCCTCATACGCACACGCCCACACACTCTTTGGAAACAATCCTCGAACCTTGGCTCGCACACGTGCATACTCTCAGCTCGTCTTTACATACACTCTCTCTAGACATATCCTCGTACTTTGCCACGCGCGTCAGCTGTCAACCGCAACGTACACACATGTACGTTCACTCACAGTCTCGGAAACCACTTCATTGTGATTTGGCGAGCACACACGCTCTACTATACCGCCTCGTGCACGCACACACATGCATTTCCTTTCCATATCTCCCCCCCTTTCTTTCTCTCTCTCTCTCTCTGGAATCACATGCTTTTATGCACGCGCGTAAGCTCTCAGCATGTCGCTCACATATACGCACGCACGTGCTACCAGCTCCTGCTCTCGCATGCGCTGTCAGCACCTCGTACACACACGCACGCTCTCCATCAGCAACTAGCACACACACGCACTCACGTACTTTGTCGTACACACATACTTCGCACACAAACGTCCTTGTAAATTTCCCGTATTCATACACACGCTGTCACATACGCAATGATACTCTGAAAACAATTCACTCATAAACGGGTACTATCAACAATACGTGCCTACAACATACATGCACTACCACTACTTCATCTAACGTACACTGACAAATGCAGGAGAGGGAAAGGAAGGCGAAAGAGTATAAAACGTTAAGTGGAAAATAGAGATATGAAGGAAGATGAAAGAAAAAAGAAGAAAACGTAAGATAAGCAATCAAGGTATAGAAAGTTAAAAATCGCCAAGAGCATAAAAGGTAGTGAGAAAATGTAAATATGGAAAGGGGAAATGGGAAAAACAAAAAATCTAAAATGAAAAACCGGAAAACTGGGAGGAAGAGAAAATTAGGAAGAGAAGAAAAAAATACAAAGATAAAGGATGCCATAAATATAGAAGAGAAAAAAATTAGGAGAAATGGACGAAGAAACAGAGAGGAAGAAGGAAAACTAAAGGAAGAATGAGAGAATAGAATAAACAACAACAGAAATTAAGAATAGAAAAACCAAGGTAGGGAAGAGAAGAAAGGGAAAAAAAACAAAACAAATCAGAAGAGGCTTCCAAGAAAACGACAGGCAATGTCTATCCACACATGCACTGAAGTGAGGTGATGTCGCACGTGAGGCCAATGGTCCTACGTGATGGGCTGCTGACGCACTGCTTCCCATCCGACACGATTGTTCTTCATTCTCTTCTTTTACCCCTCTTGTCTTTCGTCCTCTCTTTACCTTCTCTTCCCATTTAATTCATATCCAGCCGTCCGTCTACTCCTCACGTGAGGGGGTATCTGAGGGGAAGTTGACGAACGGATGAACATGACTTAAAAGGGAGGGAGGAGTAATAGGGAGATGAAGAGAAAAGAGGTGTAGGAAGAAGGATATAAGAAATATTCAGCGGGAACTAGCGCCGGAACTGACTTTTCACAGGAAAATGGGCCAAACATGAGACAGCACAGCTTCGCTCTTCCACTCACACGTACATTCTCACAATAAGAGAAGGGGTAAAAAAAGAAATGAGTGGGAAGGAACAGAAACTGGAAGAAAAATTAAAAAGTAATTGTGAGGAAAATTAAATCTTAAGTAGATAAACCAAAATGTTGAGTTGTGAGATAAAATAATTAATAGTAGTGCTACAGAAAAGCACAAATCTTTTCGCACTAGTTAGTTTCCTTATATTTTAGTCTGGACTAGCTATTCGGCTTTGCACCCTCGTCTCCTAGCGGCTACCAATCGGTACCTAAAATAATTTTTTTTCATATTTTCTCAATTTTTCTGACCTCTAATGCAGGAGGTTTGAAGAGTAAAACCTGATCGTGTATAGAAATATTAATGGAAACTATGGAGACTTTTATAAGAAATGTCGTTTAAGCATTTGTGGAAAATGGGCAGATTTGAGCTGATTTTCACAGAAACGTTATTTGAAGTCATCTATAATACTTTTTCTCACAAATGCAATTATGTATAAAAACATCTCCTTAAATGGCCATGTGACCGTCTGTGAACCACACTAAAGTCTGAAGTATTCGTAGGAGTTTTACCAAAATGAACATTCCCCGTCGACCTCTTCGATCGACATCTTTCTACAACTACTATCTTAAAAATATATTTTTTTGTTCTCTTCAAAAAATTGCTTTTTTGCTCTCCTCTTCAATTGATAACACGTTGATTATTTTGAAAGTATTAGCAGTAAGTCGAACACGGTTTACTCTTCTTTAATATTATTAAAGTCATATTTTAATTCTATACTTAGGAGACCGAAAAATTGAAAATATGTGCAAGATATACTTTTGAAGCAATTAAAAGGCAGCTGTGCTCCTCGTTTATAATGTTGCTTTATTGCATTCGAACAAATCTGCTAACTGGCCGTAATGCCACTCGTTTTGAAAACATACACGTGTGTAATAAAGCTTAACATTAAACTAGTTAAATTCCGTGGTGATAGCAGATATCTTGTGGTAATCCATAATGGGAAAAGAAAATAATCGTTCACAAGAAGTACAATAATTTTATTAAATATTACCCAGAGTTAACTTTCGGAGAAAGTGTTTTCCGATCCTCAGTGGGTTTCTAGCAAGGAGGAGAAAATTGAAATATTAACATAAAGGGAGCAAAAAGAAGCACAGTGAATTTATGTGAAAAAAGTAACAATTGATATGAAATAAATAATAAATAAATAAAATTAAAAATATATATTACTGAAGCTAGGTGAATCACTTACAAATGTTTACAACATGCTCGAAAAAAATATGAAAACTACAAAAACATGCTGGGTACGACTAGATGGCAGTTAAATTAGTTACATAGTGTTCTAAATAATAAAAGCCCATTCACAATGCAAACGTAAACATACATATAGCGCATATACATAAACATTACATAAGTGATAGACTGAAGTATTCACAATGTCTCGCTTAAACGTAAGCAAAATAAGAGTTTCTCTTGGCTGTGACATTCTAATTTACTATTGGTTTGATGTGAGAATCGGTTTCGAGGAATCGACTGTGTTCATGGCCCAAATGGCGTTAGTTGTTGTTTATAAGATCTTTAGGTATATGTATATATGTATTATATGTATATATGTATATATGTATATATGTATATATGTATATATG